GTTTCCGCACCACCGGATTTTTTGTTTTTTTAAAGGGGGTTCCCAACCCCCTTACCCTTTTTCAGAATTAACCTCCCCCGCCCCTTTCCCAGGGGGATATATTTCCATTTAGGGTTGGCCCCTGGAGGACCCCCCCTTCCCCTTTTTTTTTCATGCCCCCGGGGGGGGAAGCGTTCCCCCAGCCGGCCTTAGGGGACCCCCCAGTGGGAACCTTTGGCCCCCCAAAGGGAAACTTTCCCCCCCCCCCGGGATTCCCTGGTTTGGTCCCGGTCCCCCCCCCACCCCCCCCCGCCCGGTGTGGGGGGGGGCCACCAAATTTGGAAGGGGGGATCCGTTGGGGAAGAAAATTTAAGGGGAAAAAAATTTCATGTCCAGGGGGGGGGGGGGGGGGGGCGGCGGCTCCGGGGAAACCGTTAGCTCTAGGGCGACGTCGTGCGCGCCGAAAAGATCACGCCTCCATCGTCAACATCCCCCCCCCGTACCTGATTATCGCTTCCGTCGATAGGGCGTATACCACCAGAAGAGTTCATGGAGGAGCAAACCTCCGACATGTTCCGTATGTCCTCCCTTCCACTACCATAGGAACAATAGGGACCGCCGAAAGGAGAGCAGGCTAGGTTTCCCTGAACATGGTTGACTGATTTCTCTCTCTCCCTTACACCGCGCTTGCTGGCGAATTGTCGTCCGTTTCTTGGGGCGTCGGCGGCGATAGGAGTACGTCTTCAACCTCCGCATCCGACAGCTCTTGGCGCACCCCGACATGCGCGCGGTGTGCGAGGTCCTGCAGAACCTCACCATGGTGCGTGTTCACCCTCCTTCGCTTTGCGATAGCGGGAAAATGCATGGGATGAACGTGTTCGGGGGTTCTCGGCAGAGTACTGATCTCCGGAGTCTCCGGGGGGGTACGTGGATGATATGATGGGCATGACGCATGGACCCCTTCTTGCCTCCCGTATGTCTATCACTCTGTAAAGTGGTGAGTCAACGTTCTTTCTCTTTCGGCCTCTCACGAAGCTGCTACAACGCCCAAACAGCTATGGGCTGCCTGTTTGGGTGCCGTGCCCGACGCGCCTGCGAGCCTCAACCGCATCGATTGCGTGTGGACCTGTCGCTGCTCGTCGGCTCTCGTTGGTGTCCAGTAGGGGTCCCCGGAGACAAGAAATGCCTGGGTCTAGGCCCAATATTGTTTTTTCTTCATCACCGTCGAGTGCGGTCTACCATATACTGGAGTAGAGTACAGTGCAGGACCCTCTGGCTGAGGTCTGTTTCTTGGACCCAATTTTCTTCTTCGTGATTTTGTTTTTCGAACGGGCAGTTTCTTGACCGCGGGCCCGTACTATAGCTAGTTGGGGCTTTCCCACGCCTTGGCGCTGGTTGTTCCGCCAAGGGATTGTTCGAAAAATCAGTACCCTCCCCCTTCCCCAACAGCTTCTGGTTCATCCGCACGAAACGTAGCCTGGACCGGCGAACGCCCGGTAAATCGCTCAGTCCCGGCGTTGTAGGGATGCGAGGTCAACGTTCTAGCGACTACGGCACGTGTTTACATGAGCACCACCCCTCCACACACCGTGCCCCCCGCGTGGCGAACTCCGTGCCTGGCATAAAAGCTGGACGTGACGTACAGCGTAAACTCCATCGGCATGAAGTACGAGCGCATGCTCTTCGGGATGAAAATTTCGGACGCGAATTGCTTGGCCAATGCTATCCAGGCAACCCAGACGATGGCCTCGCTGGTGTTGCAGGTGAGAGTCAAGGAGGCGTTTCGTGCTCTCTGGTTCCGTCATGGTGGGACGAAAATCTTGCAAGGTCTTCATGCGTACGCGCGATGCGGCATATAGTTACGCCCAACTTCTATGGTGGCATGATTAAACCGCCTCCAGCAACAAGGATCTGAAATGCCCAGTTAGTAGCTGCAGACACGGGGTAGTGGCCTTTTGCCATCGCTAGCGTGAGGCTGCCGAATAGGGGCTTGCGAGAGCGGCGACGACGTGCGTTACCAGCGCCACGCAAACATGCTCAGGCGGGGGAGGTGGCTACCGTCTTTTGTAGCCCGCCCATACAATTAAGAGCGCGTAAAAATCTGAAACAAGGAGTGACTCAACGTTAGCGTGGCGCCCCTGGGATAGGTGCGAACACCCGCAAGGCCTGCCACCCCTCGTGAGTTTGGGTCAATTCACAACGTAGTCCACGGAAGGGTTGCTTAGCCAACCGTATTGGTTGAGGGTACCTATCGTTTTGCTGGGAGAATACCTCTCTGTTTACTGCCCCCGTTCAAATATGTATCCCCGAGCACCTTGGTTCGTGTGTGGTGCTATCGAGCAGAACGATTTGGTCGGGGCGCGAAATGATTCGTCTGTTCCGTTTTCATCCACTCTCTCTCTCTCTCTCTCGTGTGCCGCCGCCCCAGGGGAACCTGATAGACGACGACCTCATGCGGATGCTCATGACCGGGCTCATCAGGAATTCCACGATTACATACTTGGACGTGAGCCACAACAAGATTACCAACCACGGTGAGCAGAGCCCTCATACGCTGCGCGCTACACTAGCCCCGCACCAAGGTGCTATATTTGCTGGCCACATCACGGGAAGGATAGATCTCAGCTACGCAGCATGTCCTGGATGTTGTGCGCACGCGTGCGTGCGGGTCGGCTTTGCTCGCCCGTGGGTCTGTCGCACACCAGGTTATACGCGTTCGAACCCAGCATCTTCCCCACAGCCCCGAACACACGAAAGTCTTAAAATGACGAGCCTGAGTGACGGCGTCATCGCCGGCATGTCTCGCTAAAGATGACAATCCCCCCCACTCGCTTGACTCTTGGCTTCCAGAATGCCAACTTCCAACCACACTTTTTTGTTCAATTTGGACTCTCCGGCAGGGTGGTTGACCTCGTGATTCTTGTTTTCCCTCTTCCTTTTCTCGTCGTGTCGGCCTCGAAAAATCTCGTCGCCCGACCATTTCCTCCTCTTCGAACAACAACAGGCGCGAGACTTCTCTCCAAACTACTCGGCGAGAACAGCGTCCTTACCACGCTCAATCTGGCGGACAACCAGGTAGGGGGGTAGGGAGGTACGATGGTCGAACGAATCAGCCCAAACAAGGACAGCCTGTGCCAAACACTTGATTGACCACGTGTAGAACCAACCTAGTTGAATTGCCGACCGCTTTTGCCTCACGTCTCCGGTAGCAACGGTTAGCAATCACGTTGTCTATGCGATTCGAGTGGCAGATCCACGCGGAGGGGGGAAGGTATATCGGCCGCGCCCTTCGGGGAAACACGTCGCTGGTGACCCTCAACCTCCGGTTGAATCGCCTGACGGACGAGGGAGGGAGGATGCTCATAGAGGGACTGCACGACAACCCGACTCTGGCCTGCCTCAACCTCAGGTGAGCGCGCGCTCGCGCGTGGAAAAGGTCCTTACCTGGCCTGACGCCCTCTTGTCCGCATCTCCGTGCAATGGTTGCACGTCCCGCCTATAGATAGCATGGAGCAGCCAGTCTGACATGTAAATCTGGGTGGACTCGCTTCCGAACAGCAGTACACATTCGGCACAAGGAAAGCACCCCCCCCCCCGGTGCCAGCATTTTGGCTTGGTGCTGGTGTGGGCGGGCGATGTCTCGTGTCGTCCATCTGAATACAGTAGTTTAGTGTATTGGGCTCAGGCTGACCCGTACAAATGTGCCACTGGGAACGGTACAAGGGTGGCGTGAGAGTTTACGTGCATGGTACTGGTACATGGTTCCGGAATGTTGGGGGGCTCACTATCGCAGAAGCACCCAGAGAAGCCAATGACGGAAAGTCTTCTTGTCGGTGCAGATGCACGCCCATTTCCCTACAGTGCAGCAATAAACTTGCTCAATAGCCAAACTTCCCGAAACACGTAGCGGAGAGACAAATTGACTTGCGATCCCGGGTTACGCAGGCGTGGTACCACGAACGCAAACTACGATCGACTAAACCTTGCCTGGGTTGGCTAGGCTCGTGGCGCAGCCTAGGAGAGCCTACTGCTGTTTGACATACCGAGAAGGAAAAAACGCCGATTTGAGTGGCGACCTGATCGAGTCCGACGACTTGGTGAAGGTTAACACAGGGACCTTTTCTGTGCTTCCCCTTGCTTCCCCCGCACCCCCCCTCTGCTTCTGATCATAATATTGTTCTTTCTTTCAGCGCGAACTCAATAGCGCGCGAGGCTTGTTCTTCGCTGAGCATGGTGCTCAGAAAACCCGGGAAGGTGCTGGCAACGCTGGACCTCAGCTGCAATGAGTTGCAGGTTTGTAGTAAATACTGTGCAACGCATAGCATAGCTTGCCGTATGAACATCTAGGTAACGGCGTGTCGGTTCGTGTGCTACTACTTGCGGCCGCGCGGATGTTGCAGCTTGATGTGTTGCGTTCACCCGGTGCGTCGGACGTCTGCACGGGTTTCGGGGTCGGGGAGGAACCTTCGGGCGCGGTGGGTGTGTCGGTTGTGTCGACAAGCAAGTCGTACAAGCGTCGAAAGGGCGCTCTCGCAGTGTTGAGCCGCGAGACAGCCATGCCTCTCGGGGACGAAACGTTCCTACGTATCACCCGCAGATATCGTTTGTCGATTCCATTCCTACCACTGTAGTTGCGCCAGTGTGATCACACACGCACCCTGCGCACACCTTCATTGCTTGATTACCTCAACCGAGGGGACACCACTGAAAAAGGGTAGTTTTGGAAAGGGCTAGTCGAGGGCGTTTCTTTGACCTTTAGGCCGGTTTGCGCAACCTTTTGTCAAACCTCGTCGGCGACACCCCCGAAGCTCTCTTCCATCCCAGCATTGTGGGATGCCAGATCATCTGTGATCGACTGGTTATACCGCTTTCATCTTCAATCGAATATTTACCGTCCCTCGCGCGCGTGCCCCCCACGTGCAGGACGACGACATCCGGTTGCTCTGCGTCGCGCTGGAGAGAAACTCCTCGCTGACCTCCATCGACCTCCGCATGAACGACGTTTCGGCCGACCTTGAGGACCTGGAGAAAATCGAGGTAGGGTGACGGCTCGAGGTTGATCTTGTTGATGTTCTTTTATTAAACTGTCGCTGTCGTTGGTGTCGAAAAAGACGCGCCTCGGCCCTACTTTGATGACGTTTCTCAGAGTCGCGTGCCTGACCATTGGAGAATCAAAATACGACACAACAACTGAAATTCTCACTCACCGCTCTGACCGTGAGACCTCCACCCCATCATGCTTCCTTTCAATTACTCTGCCCAAGAAACACCAGTGCAAGTCATGTGCATGCGCTAATCATGCTCCTACTCGACTTGTCTGTGGTGACTCTGCCCACCCCTCGCCCGTTCATGCCCTCTACACTTTTTTCCGTTGTCCCACGTCCCCTTCCCCAGAAAATGGTGCATGCCAACGAGTTGCGCGCGCGGGAAGCATGAGGCAAGCGCCGGTTGTTAGACTAGATAGACTAGGTGCGGAATCCCGGAGAGAGGGGCGTCATTTGGTTGTCGGGATATGGTCGACAGCACTACAGCGCGCGGCTCATCACCGACTACGGTACTACCACTCCGCTACGTGCTGTGACGATTGGGGTCGATTCACACCGCTGCAAATCCGGACGGCGCGCCGGCGACCAAGAAGGGTGGTGGGGGCGGGGGCGAAATGGTCTTTTGCCTTCGTGGGCGTCCCGGCTTGTCTAGGGCCTGCCTATTGTGGCTAGGTAGCGTTACTTTCCGCGAAGAGGTACATAGCGAGGTGTTTCTTCCGAGGTGCTGCTTTGCGGTGGCTTCTGCTTCTCTCGGAGTTGGTTCTACAGGGACAGCGACAGAGAGAGCGTGCGACATGTTCGCAATGCCCTGCCTCGATCGGCAGGGGAAGATATCGTTTTGGGTTATCGCTTCGCACGCGTTTAGCCGTTTTCGAGAAGCGGCCGTGCTGGAATCCCCCGGGCCGCGTCGGATAGTTTGTTTCTCAGCAGGACAGAGGTAACAACTCGACTTCCAGCAATTCGCCTCAGGATTACTTATAGGCGATGATGAGCGGCCCCTCACTCCAGTAGCAATATCTTTCGCGCTCGGCGCAGCCAACAATTAGTCAAGATAGTGTTGATGCTTCGAGTTGAAACGCGATCATGCCCTTGGCCCTCCCTCTCAGGTTGTTCTCGCCCCTATCAATCAAGTCCGTTTTGGCAGGGTCGTGACCGAACACGCGCTCTGCCAATTCTTGGCGGCGGCTTCGCCGAGTAAAATCAGCGACCAATGCCCCCACACCCACACGCCGCAGTTGCTTCTACCGCTTCCCGTGCCCTCTCCCGAGTCTGGCACGAGGGGGGTAGAAGCTATACCGTGATTGCATCCCAAAACTTGGCCTCGTTCAGCCATTTCTTCCTACCGCCCCGTCGCCTGCGATGGTAGCCGTTCAAAAGAACACCACCGCGGGAAGCTTAGCTCCGTTCCTCTCTACGACATGGTACCAGAAATAGCTGTGAGGACACAGAGGCGGCGGCGAACGCCTCCTCACGGGTTTCCACCCCTGCCCAACACGGATTCGCCGGCTCCGGCTGCGTGCCGAGACACTACCGCAACACCAAGAGAATAACCGCGCTCTATGACGGGACCTATGGTTAGTAGGAGACTGCGCGCGTGTTCTTGCAGGCATCAACGCTAGCATGTTCGTCCGGGAGGGCCGATAGGACTGATTTCAGATGACTAACTACAGTTGTGGCATCCCTGGGGCGGTGAATACTGCGATCGATCGCTCATATCGCCGTCGCGGCATTTCTCTGTAGAAACCAATGACCGGGCTATTCGATATCGTCCAGTCCGGGCAGGCTCGCCATGTCAGCGCTACGCTGCAGAGGTGGTTCGACTCAAAGACCCGTCTGAGTGCGGTGCGGTCGCCCGCGAGGAACCGCCCCCAGACCGATAAAAAAGGACTAATTATCGTGCCCATCTCTCTCGCGCCACGGCAAGGTTTCGACGCCCTCAGCGATCGTCTCGCGGCGGGGCACCATACTCCCTCGGTGCCCAGCGATAACGCCACACAACTCCCTCCAGGCACCGTGTAGGCCACACAATCCACAAGCTTCAGGCAACAGGCATTCGCCATCTGCAGCGGTAGCGCAATTTTACACCGCGCCACGGCAAAAGGGAAACGTGAACTTGCATCCCATTTACACGATGAACTCGTTCTTGTTGTATTGTTTTCTGTGATTCTCTCTCCCGCAACAGTTGATTCAGCGTCTCGCCTCCATCGTCAGTGCCGGGGGGGTGCAGCTCCGTCATGGCGGATGCCGAGGGATCAGGTACCACGAAGGGTGCAGCTCTCGCCAAGCAGGTCGGCCAAGTCAGCCGTTCCCGCGTCGATTACACCTACTCCACGAGGCAATCAGTCAATATTTCCCGCATCGATGACGCCGACAAAGGGACGGTAAAGGTATCCTCACTCCTCCTCCACTTCCCCGTCGCTGCAACACGCAACATACCCGTTCTCTTGTCTCTTTCGTATGTTTCTCTGTCTCGCCCATGTCTCTCTCTCTCTCTCTCTCTCTCTCTCTCTTGCTCTCATTCTATGCGCCTCTCTAGACTTGGGAGGCGTGAGGGTCTTCGACAGCAGTGTTCCAATCCTACGTAAAAAAAAAAAAATCGCTCTATTGTACCCTACAAAAAAAAGCGATAAACTATTTTTGACCAAAATCATACTCCGCGTTTCCGCTCGTAGATGATGATATAGCTCTCGCTGAGACCAATGAGTTGCGGCATGGTCTCCTGCACGTGAAGGTCCTGCACCTCGTACCTGGCGTGACGTCATGGACATGACGCCGACAGGCCGCAAACGACAGGTGGCACGAAGGGACGAGAGAGAGAGAGAGAGAGAGAGAGAGAGAGAGAGAGAGAGAGAGAGGTTCGCTTAGCGCGCGCTGCTGGCAATAGTAGAATCATGCCGGAGACGTGTGTGCTTCGTACGAAGTACGTTTCATGCCCCTTTTACTTGCCATCCTTGGCTCTTTCCCGCGGCTCTATCGACTTTCTAACCTACCCCGCCGGCGAGCGACCCCTAGAACCCGGTATACATCGGTGCGCTGTACGCAAACCCGACGAAAGCAAATGCGGCGGAAGCGATCGATCCTTCTCGGTGTTGCCCGAACTCTCGACCTGGTCATCATTCATCTTGCCAAGGCCTCCACGTGAACCACAAGTGGTGGCCAGTGCATCCACCCAACACGATCGAAACACCCCGCCGAAAGAAACGCTCTTCAGGCCCCCTACAACAACAATAGGATCCATCCCCCCCCCCCCTTTTCTCACCACTGCTCCGTGGCCTTGTTCTGGACGTGAGCGCGGTAGCAGCCGGCCGAGAGGGGGTCCGTCTGCCCCTCCTTGCCCTGCCCTGGGGGGCTATCGTGGCAGACGTTGGCCAGGAGGTTGTACTTGGTCGCCAGCAGCTCGGGCACGGTCTTGATGAGCGTATCCCGTACCTTCTCCTCCAAGTCCCTTATTATGGTTTGGTTTGTTTCAAGGCAAAAAAAACATACGAGTTGGGGGTTCGAAACGCACAAGGTGGCGGGCAAGGATTGACGTCGAGGTTTGCGCGGTGACACTGGTGCGCGCCTGTTTGTGGCACAGCGAGACTGAATATGCTGCCAGTGTTCTTGTGGGGGAACGTCTCGAGGAAAGATATATAGCACCATGAGTTATCGGCTGTACATCTTCTGCGTCGTTTTCTTGCTTTTCGTGTTAAAAGGAACCTTAATAATGGCGGTAGGCGTGTGGCGGAAGACGTCTTGCATTAGCCCGAACAGTAACAGACTACCACTTCCCGAAGCACCGTGCTTTCAGGTAGTAGAAATACACCTATCTACCAAGGGGGAGGGCAACAACGCGGAACTCCTTGCGGGAAACGAAGGGAAAACCCCGCTGATCTATGAGCAAACCCCGAACACCGGCAAGCAGTGGTACAATTTCAAGGGTGCTCAGCACAGTCCTTGCTGGCGAAAAAGGCCTCAATCTATGAGCAAACCCGAATATCTGTGACCAGCGGGCGTTCAAGGGGGGAGGGGGGGGGGCGCACCTGCGCTCGACGCAGTCCTTGCTGGAAATTGAGTACTTGTTGAGGTGTGCCTTGAGCTGCTTGATCGACATGCCCGCCAAGTCTTCCTCCTTAGGCAGGCCGGGGTCTTCGGCTCGTAGCCCTGCGAGAGCAACGTTGAGGTATTGGTTGTTGTTGTTGTTTGCTATCGTCCGGACACTGTAGAAGCAGCAGTCCCGATCAGGAACAAGGCTACGCGTCCACCGGATAAATGACGAAACGCTCATAAAAGGGATACCACGGGCACCACATTGATGTTATGGTTGTGGTTGTTGTCGTCTGGACCCCATAGAAATAGCAGTCCCGATTTCAAGACCCACGCTACGCGCCCGCCGGATAAATGACGACACGTGGGATTACACCATGGGTAGATACCTCGGACACTTGCTGTGCCACCAGCCACTGAGCTGCAAAAAGCATCAAGGCTACTACGACAAAGAATTTGTCAAGGCAACCACAACTCGAACACAAAGTGGAGTGGAGCGAGGCCGCGAAGTTACAACTCACAGTCCTTGAGCTCTAGGTTCTTGACGGGAAAGTTGACGATGGTCGGGTTCTTCTCCACGTAGAAGTTGTTCTTGGTGAAGCGGGCGAGGTGGAAGATCAGGTACCTGCCAGAAGAAGAAACGCTTTGTTTGTTTCTTCGACGTCGAGGCGGGCCGTTATTTGCTTGTCGCGGGACGTGACAAAGAGGTGGGCTGCGCTTGTAGTGCTGCCATTGAACGGGGTCGCCTCCTGCGAAAAACTTGCAAGAAGCATACAAGTGCCGTACGAGTCGTCTGGATTTCCGTACCCCCTGGTGACAGCGGCAGCAACACAAACACCCACCACCACCACCACCACCACCACCACCACCACCACCACAAGATGGACATGACAACAACAACAACGGTGACGACGGCAGCAAAAAAAAAAAAAAAAGAAGGCGCGCGCTGCCTGCGGGGCCAAGCCTCCGCCGCGCACCTGGGTAATCGTCGCAGCACGTATCGCTTGCGGGTTAGCACCCCTCCCTTCACCACGTCCTGGGGGCGGTGGTACGAGACAACAGCGAAACAAGACAGCAGTGCAAGGGAAGCCAAAGCGTCAGCGAACGGAGCGAACGAGTAGTTTCATCGCAATCTCGTTCCGGCATCGTCTTTTCGGCAACCCAATGTGCCAACTCACAGGTAAAAAACAAGCAACTTCAGCTCAACAGCTACATCGCAACCTCGTTCTTGCATAGTCTCTTCGGCAACACAAATGCCAACACACCGGTAAGAAAAAAAAATCATGTATCTACTGTCCAGCGCAAGTCTTGCTCACCGTCCAGTTCTCCCCGTTGTACTTGTCCAACACCTTGAACAGCGGGATCTGCGGGATGATGTTGCCCCCTTGGGAGTCCTTGAAGAGAGGCGTCGCCGGGATGTCAAGGGTGAGGTGCCTGGACAGGGAAAGCAAGCAGCGAGAACGGCATGAGGGGACCCCACGGTGGATTCGGCACGTACCAGCGTGCACACACAAATGCGTTCATTGCAAATAGAAGTAGAAAAGACAGGTTTTTCTGCTGTCTTTCGTCTCTCTCTGGCTGTTTGTGGTCTGTCTGTTTGTCTCTCTGCGTCTGCCGCCCTGCTTCATTCAATCGGGAACGTAATAATGTAGCTACCAACACCAACGCAAACAAATTACCACGTACATTGCCGGATGTTGACTACACACAAAATTCTTCTGTGTGTTACGCGCCATTTCACTGAAAAACAAATAAACACGTATACAAAAGACATAAAAGTGAACACTGCTGTACTCACAAGAAGGGCACCTCCGCCTTCTTCTTGTCCCAGTCGGCCTCGTCGAAACCGACCAGCTCGTCCTCCGCCGCCGCCGCCCCTGCCTTTCCACGAGCGTTCCCTACTCCACCCCCGCCCTCCTCGTCGTCATCGTCCAAGATTGCTTTCTGCAAATGGAAAGAAAACGGGCAGAGTAAGGACAGCGGAAGGGGAGTTAGGGTCCGTAGATCTGGACACGCGCAGCGCGCATGCGCAGGATGACGATGGGCCTCGCGCTGCCAGGGACATGGGCGCTTGCGCGTTCGAAAAAAGCACTCACGACCGCGACAAACTGACGCCCCTTCGCACCAGCGGTAAGCCCCACATCGCCCGGGGTTTCACCAGCACCACCGCCAGCACCACCGCCGCCGCCGTCTGAGAACGAAACCCCAGCTGCGTGTGGCTTGGTTTGGATGCGGTGGTGAATCAACCAATCTCGCGGGACGCGCGCCATAGCAAACTTGCCTTCTTCTTGGTGAGGGTTTCTACCTCCACGAGCCCCTGAAACGTCTGGAAGACCACGCTGCTCCCGGCCTTCCTCGTCCCGCCTAATCCCTGCGGCAGCAGCAGCAACAGCAGCAAGCAGCAAGCAGTAGCAAGCAGGACCAGTAGCAGTCACCCACGACACACGAGAACGCGCGGGGAGGGGAAGAAAACTGAAGTCACAGTGGTGAGGCGTAGTCATGTCCTTGCTGCCTTAGTTGCTAGAGCTTTGACTGGCACCCGTCCATGACCGGCCACCACGGTGCCACAAAAAAAAAAAAAAACAGAAAGGGGTCGCGGGGAAGTGTATCGGACGGACGTTGTACAGGAGTAGTCGCAGCCAATAGCAGCAGACGATCCGGAACAGTAAAAAAAAATTGTTCTGCCTATGATTACCAACTATACCTGGTGGAGGGAGTTGAGCAACCAAGCCAGGAAGTCGATCGCCTCCGACTGCACCCCGGGCCGGAACCGCTTCTTGGACGCGTAGGAAACCGCCTGGATGAACTCGTGGGGGGACACGGCGCTCTTGAAGTTGCTCGGGGACCAAACGCGCCTCACCACCTCCCCGAAGGCATGCACCTGGGGAGTGGCGGGGGCGGCGGGGGGGGGGGGGGGGGGGGGTTTTTTACCCCTGGGA